CCTGGAGGTCACAGAAAGCATAAATACTTTTTGAACTGGTTCTGAGAATTGATGGTTAAATTCTCAGTGTGAGCATTTTATCTCAGAAATCAGCAAAAACTACAAATCAGGGTTTGATTGTTTTGATTGTCTAGACAAGAAAGTGAGGGAGAAAATGTTAGTAGTGCGGATTAAATTTAAAAGCATGTTGACTACATTTTCGCCTCCAGAGAACCAGCTGTTAAAATTTACCAGCATACCACTGCCTCAATTCTTGGCTTCACCTCTTAAATCTGCTCTTCACCCTTATCAAAACTTCCAGGAACAACTAAAGGAATAGTCATCTTAGCTAGCAAAGAGAACACTTGACTTTTTTTTTCTTCTGGTGGATGCGAAGCCAGTTGAGAGGTTCCCCTCAAAAGCCATATAAAATTTTTTGTAGAGCAGGGCTATGGGATCTGAGTGAAAGAGCACAAATTGGATACCTCTGGGGTTGTCTGAAAGCTAAGTGTGGCCAATAGCTCAAATGCTTTCTAGCTCTACCTCATTCTAAGGGAGCTGTAACTCTTCCTTGAAGAACTCAGCAGATAGTGGCAATGAAATGGCAATGAAACAATGGGAGTCCTGATGGAAGAGACTGGAGGTAGGGATGTTCAAGGTGTAATGAGGCATAGGACTCTAAGCACGTGTTTGTTCAGAACTTTGTACCTCACTTTGCCTCATTCAAAGTAGTACTGTGAGTCTTATGGACCGCATAGACCCAAAGGGTAGGGTTTGAAACTAGTGAACCCCAAATTTGTCCCCTATAGGGTACATAGGACAATGATAAAAAAATGACAGAGGTAGAACTATTCAAGTTTATTTTGCTTCTTTTTTTTTTTCTGCCAAGGACAATGACTTTTGAATTGGAAAGGTTAGATAAAAAAATAGTCAAAGGAAACCCAAGATAAGTACAAAGATATAAAAGAGCTGCACGCAGATGCTTTAGATGAGTTCAACTCCCCAGGTCCAGATGAATTGCATCCCAGGGTATTGAAAGAAGAGACAGATACAAGTGCTGGGCCTGTCAGTAATCTTTGAAAGATCATGGAGAAAAAGAGAGTTGCCACAGAATTGACAAGGGACAAATGATGTCATCATTTTAAACAAATCTTGCAGACTGTAAGCTAATGAGCTCAACTTTGTTCCCTTGAAAGGTTGTACAGAATGTATTATAAAGTGGTGGTTAACGAACATCTAAAAAGGAATAGGTCATGCTAAGTCAGGGGTGGGGAACCTGTGGCCTCCAGGCCCTCCAGGTCCTCAAGTGCAGCCCTTTGATTGAATCCAAACTTCACAGAACAAATCCCTTTAAAAAAAAAGATCTGTTCTGTAAAACTTTGACTCAGTCAAAAGGCTGTACCCAAGGACCTAGAAGTCTCCATGTGGCCTCAGGGCTGTAAGTTCCCCACCCCTGTGCTAACTTCATTTTTAAAAACAGGTTATTAGATTGAAGATGAGGGAAATGTTATACGTATAGTTAGTATACATATACCTAGGTTTTAATAAAGCCTTTGACACAAAAGTCTCATGCTATTTCTGCAGTTAAGATGTGAGATTAAAGGCTAGAAAATTGTACCATTAAGTAGATTCAGGACTGACTGAATTCAGAAGTAGTTACAGAAGGCAGTATGGTATAGTGAAAAGTATCTTGTCTTTGGAGTCAGAGGACTCAAGTTCAAATCCCGGTATGGTCACTAGTACTACCCATGTAACTTTGGGCCATTCATGTAACCTCTTTGGGCTGGTATTTCTTAATTGCAAAGTTAGGGGGTTGGACTAAATAACCTTTATGATCCATTCTAGGTATAAACTTATGATCCTCTAAATTGCTAGATCAAAAGAGTGGTAATTATTGGTATGTCAACTTGGAAGTTTAGTGGAGAATATTACCATGATCTGTGCTTGGCTCTTTATGGGGGGGGGGTTCTCCTTCAAGTTCAATTTGAATAATCATATCCTGAGGTGTCTCCCAACTCCAAGACTCTGTAGGAGACTTAAGGTGGGAAGAACTTTCAGAGGCTATTGAAAATAGTTTGGGCATGAATGCTTTCACAGAGTAGTAAGGAAAAGAAGAGGTTGTTGAGACAGAATAGGTAACCTAGCAACTGATTGGCTTCATGAGATAAGAGACAGAGGAGTCAGAGGATTTTGAAGTTAAAATCATGACTAGCTAAGAAAATAGTATTACTACTGAGGTCAAAAAAAGGAGCAGGTTTAAGAGGGAAAGATAAGTCTTATATAATCATACACACACACACACACACACACACACACACACTAAATGAGACATCCAGCTCTCAATATTCAGTAGGCAATCCCTGGGTGCTATTGACCTTGGGTTTTGGAAGGCTATGACAAGAGTGCAAATTCTGGCTGGACTTTCCAAATTTGAAAAGGTTTGAATATGGCAACAGACTGTGTCTATTATCCAAGGATTACCCTTGCTAAGTTTGGAGAGGTTTATTACTAAAAGTTTGTCCCACAAGTGATGAATGTGAAGTGTAGCAAGGGTAGCAATCCATGAAATACATCTAAGACTTGGAAAGGAATTCCCATGGATCTTATGTATACTTGGAAGTTTCATGACTGTGGGGGAAAATGTTAAAAAGTATTGGTTAAGGCATTAGTAAATTCACACACATCTGTATGAATTTATATATATGTGTATATATATACATATACATAAGCTAAAAATCATATATACATGTGTATGTAAATTTATACACACACAAGCTGAAAAATCACAGTACCTACAGGTAGAATTTGAATAGTTCCCACTCCTCTACATAGCAATTTATATTTTCAATACTTCAAAATATCTGTTATTTCAATGATATGGGTACTCACTACTTTCAGAATTGGATTGCAAACTTTCCATAGCTTTGAATTTAAGAAGCTGCCATAACCAACTGAAATTTCTAACACGATTAGATAGTTTTTTGGTGATGAATCAAAGCTAAAATGGTTTTTGCTAGACTAGGCCACAGTTCAGTTAGGTTCATATTCAAGTATTTGTGTGACCTGCCAGAGATTGTGTTCTGCAAGCATAGCTTTGGAGAACTCAGGCTCAACTCCACACTACAAGGTACACATTGTAAAATGAAAAAGGAGGAGGTTGTTCTGTGAAGTGCCAACCCTCCACAATAGAAGAAATTTTTACAATGTGAGAAAGAACAGATTGTAGAATAAGGGTGAGAAGGTAGTAATAGGGAAAATGGGACAAGTCAGATGTTTTAAAACACCACAGAACACTCACCTTAAACCACTTGTCTAACAAGGTTGTTTACTGGGGATTTTTTCCATAGCAATACAGCTACAATCTTATTTTAAAATTTAACGGGGGAAGATAAAATTCTGTATTAGCTTAATTTCTTAGAATATGTCTGCTTTAATAACAAATACCTTAATAGCTCAAGGTTGATAGCCCTTTACTTCCTACTTTGATGTTCCAATGTTAGTCCTTGAAGGCTATACTTGCAGTGCACAAGTTCCAACAGGCCCTAGACTAAGCTTTAAGTAAGGTGCCTACGACAGACTAAATGTACTACTTGAGGACCAACATAGAAAAATGTAGAAAGGCATACTATTAGTAAATTGGTTACTAGATGGTAAATTTTTGAAAATCTTTTTCTAGTACTAAGTACTTCTTAAAGTTCTCTGAAAAAAGCTTCCATTACAAATATATCAAGGAGCCAACCAAAATTCCAGGACTCTTTTTAAGTAACTCATTTTCAAGCTGGCTGCTACTATGTAGGACCTCTCTCATGTCTGCCAGGATTCATGGAACAATTGGCAGCTTTGCTACTCTACGTTCTTGACTCATAGGATCAAGTTCAAATTCCTAAATTCCTCATTCTAATTTCATCTCTTTTCCCCAGCATAAACCTTTTACTCCAGATTTACTCTCCTCATGGTACTGTTCCCACCTGTAATATTTTTTTTCCAAATTCTGACCATCCTTTTGAATCCTGCTTGGACCCTTGTTAAATTTTGTTTGCTCCGGTCCACATTATCTTCATTGCTAATGTACTCTTATGTTCTGTCATTGATTTTTTCTGTTTTACCACAATGTGAAGTTAATTCTAGGTTCTTATAGGATATGCCAGAGGCATGTACTCTGGCAAGTTGGAAAGAGTACAGGTAAAGTAATGACTGTTTATTATAGAGGATGAGAGTAGATAATTGCGGAGTGGCTTGTTGCCAGGGTATTGGACACAGCAATTCATGAAAACTACATTAGGGCATGGAAGAGCAGCAATCTGTCGGTAAAGGAATGCCCATCTTTTGAAGGATTTAAATGGTGTGCAACAAAGGAAAAAGTCAAATGACCTTTAAATTGTGTTGCCCCAATACTAGTATTAGATTGTTAAATCTCTAGGGTTTCATTTCATATAAAGATGCAATTCAATTTAAGTAGAAGATGCATTTACCTTTTATCCATGGTATTGTACCTTAAGACTGGAACTACAACCTCATTAAAACAATTTTCCTTATTTTTAATGAGTATCTGGGTAAAGAAAGGTCTGATTTCTTCACATCAGACACTTTTAAAAGGAAAAACTTGTGAATATGGCCATGTCAGTGATGAAATGGTGATGACCAAACAACTTATAAAATAACAATAGAATAAAACAGTTAAATTATCCTTTGCTATGATGTGAAAATAGCTGAAAAGCTATACAGCTGAATAAATATGGAAGATGCTCTGAACTCAAGTCAAACAGTGTACATTTTTTGGTTCAGAACTTTATTATTTCCTCCTAAAATATGGAATAAAGATTAAATTATATTGTTGAGTAATAAAAGTTTGGTGTTTTGTTTTCCCATTTGCATTTTACTACTAAAAGGATAATACATACACATTCAGGAAAAATATTCTTGGGTAAAGTCAACCTCAAAATTGATAAAAAGAATCTATACCATAGACTCAAGGGTACTTTTTGGGATTTTTTTTTGCACTTTATGCAAATACAACACAATTGAAAAGTTTACTGAAAACTTTTATTGTAATCAAAAAGTGACATAACAGGGCTGTAATGAATTCTGCAAATCATTCTGCTGATATTTTAGAACGGATACCAGCTTTTTCTGCCAGGCAATTAAAAAAATTCAAATGTGAAAATTTCACAGTACAGTAAACTCCACCCAAACTAATTAATGGTGGTTAAAAATAAGATGCCCCAGGCAAAACCTCTCATGTTACATGGTCACAACTCACAATTCTGTACAAAAAGTTCGTGTTATAAAGCTCTGATGTAAAAATCAAATAATCAAGCAGCAATATTTTAAGTGCAGCACAGGGTCTTCCATGTCATTATTTACAAAGCTTGAATCTGTTTACATTATAACAAAATTTAATACAGATGACTTAGTAATTAAGTCAATTTTTTAATCTGTCATTTTATACTGTGACAGATTTAACTTTTTGGTCATCCTTTTCCTTTTCCTTTTCCTTTTCTTTATCTTTGCTTTTCTTGGATTTTTTCTTCTTATGCTTGTGTTTTTGGCTCTTTTCCAATTCTAATTCAGTGCCCGTGTGTTTCTTATGTTTCTTATGTTTCTTATGTTTCTTGTGCTTCTTTTTTTCCTTTTTCTTTTTCTTCTTCTTGCTGTCCTGACTTTCTGCTGAGCTAGCGCTGCTGCTGTGGCTTCGTGTTTGGCTTCCAGAAGGACTATGACTTCGACTTCGGCTAACACTAGGACTACTTTGACTCTGACTTCTTACGCCTATTTGGCCAACTACTGTTGCCTCCAGGATCTCTTTAGCTTTCTCTGTCACCTTATCTTTCAGTTCCTTAGGATTTTTTCCTAGAGTTTCTTCCTCTTTTGCAGACACATTACTCTCACTATCACTTTCATTATAGTCTGGTACAAAAGCAGCCTCATCAGTTTCTCTTGTTAGGTCAGAAGAAAGTCGAGAAGAGTGGCTTAACTGGGGCTTAGGTTTGACAACAGTCTTATCATTCTGTCCAGTAACATGCTCTTTTTCAATTTGTATATCTGGTGAGCTATGTTTACAAAATAATTTATTTCCACTTAACTCTTTCTCTTTGTTGTTCTTTGTTTCTGATATATGCTTCTCTCGCTCTTTAACTGGATTTTTGTCTATAGATTTGTTGTCATCATTCGAACGTTTGGAATCATGAGCAGCTTTATGATCATATGGTCTTCTGTCCTTTGAAGGACTGGAGTTGCTTCTTTTTGATTCCCCTACTCCCTTTTTAGGTATATCTGTCCTTTCATCCTTTAGTTTATTTTTCTGACCCAATGAAGATTCTAATTTAGTTCGAGAAGGAGAATCTTTTCTTCTTGTTAAGTCACTCCTTTCATCTCTCCGTTTGGAACCAGAGTGATCCCTGTTATCGTACTCTACTTTTTTGTCTCTATTAGGGGTAAAATCTTTACTTGAGGAACCACGCCCAGAATCATGCTTATCTGAAGTTCTACTGTCTTTGGATGATTGAGAAAGACTTTTAAAGTTTCCTTGTTCATTTAGTCGATCTACACTAGTATCTTTTTCTGTCTGAACGCTGCTTTTCCTTTTTTCAGAGTTTTCCTTATCTGACACGGAATGATCCCGATCTTTGGTTTTTCCTTTTTCACTGGATGAACAAGTTTTTGAACTTTTGGCCTCATGCTGTACACCTTCGTGGCTTACTTCTTTTGTGGGCTTCTGAATTTTCTCTGATGGCTCGCTTTCTTTTTCAATATGCTTAACAGGATTTGATGGCTTAGTGCTAACATTTTTTATAACACTAGCAGGCTTTCCTACACTTGACAAAGCTTGTGTAGATTTAATGTCTTCCTCTTCAGATTCAAAGTCGTCTTTGTCCCATTTTGACTGAGGAACCTGAATCATAATAATAACATCTTCAGCAGGAGCTGTATTATCATTATTATATTCTTCCATGGTCTTAATGACAGTTCGCTTTGTGTCTGTTTTTTCTTCAGACTTCCTTACAGGGCTGCCTCCGGTTGAGCTTGTACTAAAGAAAATTAAAACATTAATTGGTACACTTAAAATTTAAATGCTTTCATAGACCAGTAAAACTGATCAATGAAATATTAACTTTTACTTAAAGACTTATTTCAAAAACATTTCAAATATTGGCCTTTTGAGGAATACACAGATAAGGGATATTTAAAAATTAAATGTTAATTGAGGATTAAACAATCCTGGTTCAATGTTCAACTCCTGAAGTACAGAGAATTTTTTCTTTCTCAGCAGTGTCATTTCACTGCTTACTCTTGTTCTGAGTAGATGGACTAGGCTACACCCTCATGGTTTTTATGACAGGTAGGATCCCACTTAAATAAATATCAATATAGGATTTGTTTTTATATAAGGCAGTAACTATGGGCAGACAGACAAGCCTCAGTAATGGTAGAGGATACTTACTTAATTTTGCCCTGATCAATATAGCTTTCACAATAACACTGATACATAATAAAATCCTATATGACATGAAATCCTGTTGTGATAGTTACCTTTATAACATATTTTCTAAGGAACTAAACTGCTTCATTTTAAAAACTGACCCTTCTAAAATATTGCTTTCTCAGGTATCAAAAGAATGATATTAAACAAGATATTTCTTTCCTCCATTAAATTAAAAAGCCTTGAATATTTGATAACTGGTAATGCCTATGCTTGTTAACACAGAATACTAGTTTGATGATCTACTCCAAGCTGTCTGTCACTGCTTTAACATAAGCTATCAGTGGCAGGCACACTGGAGCACCTAAATTCTCAACGGATTTTTTCCACTCTCTGCATCATACAAATCAATTCTTTTTCTTTTTCTTCTTTATTCTTTTTCTTCTGTTTTAATTGAAAATCTGGATTCTATTACAAAACCTGCAGTGCAGGGTAGAGGGATAAGCATGGACAATATACAGCAACACAAGGAGCATTAAGCGGAGTAGTGTGGTATGACTGCTCTGAGTTATCTTATTGTTCACTTAGTTTAACTTAATTTCATTAATTTAAACTAAATGGGGAAAATCTAATCAATTAGTGAATTATTATCAAAGCCTGAATTGAAGAACATACAAAGAAATAGTTTTATTACACTAAGTAACTCAAACTGTTTGGTCTCTAGACCCATTTATAGCCTTAAAAATTATTAGACAAGCACCTCCTTCCCCCTCAAAAGAGGTTTAATGTGGGTTTAGCTATCAATACCTACCATGTATTTGAAATTATAACATCTTAGTATACTAATTATGAAAATAGTTTTGACCTTCCTGCAAGGGTCTCAAGGACAGTAAAAGGAACTATTTTAATGAATAGAAAAGGATGATTTGACATGAATTTTAAGACTGAAAAAGAGAATAAAGATTTGTAAAAACAAATGCTTAGAAATGTTTTTGTCTCTTTGGGAATGTAGCCCAAATTACCTAACATCCTCAATGAATAGTCATCTAGTTTCTGACTTAAGCACCTCCAATATTAGGGAAATTGCAACTTCCTGAAACAGTTCATTCTACTTTTGATCAGATCTGTTAACAAGCTTTACACTAAGTACAGGTTGGCCTCCCTCCTTCATTCACTGGTCCTGGTTCTATTCTCCAGGATGAAGCAGAAAATCTCTTTTCCATACATCATCACTTAGATGCTACATGGAATCAAGAAGATTAGTTGCTCATCAGCAAAACATTTATATTTCCAAATAGGATACATGAACTCTATGGGAACATGCCCCTCAAAGTTTACATTTTTCCTAAAATGTTATTTGCATTTTCTTAGCAAATCTGTTTCCCCAGAGATAGCACAAAAGCAAGCCCAAATTACCACAAATTCTGTATTAGTAGAATTTTTATATATGAAATTGAATTGCATTACAAAATTGTAGTGAAGAAAAAAAAATTACCTGGCATAATCCACAAGAGTTGAGCTAGATCCTTCAGTGGCTGTCACTTTTCTTCTTACTTTTCCTTTAACTTTTTCTTGTTTAATTTTACTGGATGTTGGCTCCAATTTTTCAGTGAGTTCTTTTGCATTGGGTGGATTTTCTCCACTTCCAATTTTTTTCCCTGTTTCTCTGTTCAGCTTTATCTTTTTGGCTGGGGCAGTTAATGCAGCTTTGTCTTTTTCTGGGGTCCTATCTGTTTTCTCAACATCTGGCTCAATTTTGCGCTTTGGTGATGGCTTCATCATTTCGGCAACTTCTGGTTTAGAGTTTTTCAATGACAAAATCTCATGTTCTTTATCTACACCCTTTTCTTCAGCTTTTCTTTTTCTTTTTTCTGGCTTTGCATCAGCTGGTTTACTTTTCTCATTAGTCTTTTTTGACTTTTCCTCCTTGTTAGCTAGCTTTTCTTGTTTGGCATCTTTTGAATATTCCTTTTTAATTTTTTCTTCCTTGGTGGATTTAGTTTCTTGATGCTCTTTTGTCATCTTGGGGTGAGCTTTTCTGGGTGTACTAATGGTCTTTTCATCTTTCTGGGAGGAGGATTTACTACTCTCTGTCTTTGGCACCTCCTCTTTGGCTTTTTTGGATGGTGGTTCTGATCTTGGAGACTTTTCACGTTCTACATCTATTTTTTCCTGGGATGCTTTAACAGGTTTTGCAGTGCTCTCCTTTTTGGAACCAGCAGTGCCTTCATTTTTACGTTTAGTCTTGTCACCTTTTGCTTTTGGTTTGTCTTTTTCTTTCTTTTCCTTTTCTGATAGAGGTTTAAAAGTGATTGACTCTGCCTCCATTGGTTCATCTCTAACAGGGGTGGCATCATCTCTACTGGGGAGAATGAACAAGGAGTCTGTTTTAATATCTTCCCCCCCACCTACAGGTTCTCTTTGTTTTCTAGAACTCTCTAATAACTCTGTGTTAGGAAAGCCTTCGTTTTCTTCCCCCTTTCTTCTTTTTCGATGCTTCTTATGCTTGTTTCCCTTTCCATCTCCTGGTGGGTTTTCACTCTCTTTCTCTTTTGACTTGGCATTATCCTTCATGGCGTGACCATCTCTTGCTGAAAGCTTTTCTGGGTAATTGCCACCTATGTTGCGACTTCGATGACCCTGTACACTAGAATAATCTTCCCTACGACCTCGAGCAAAGGGAGAATTCTCTCTTCTGTTGCCCAATGGTCCAAATCTCTCTGGAGAAAAGTTCTCCCTATTTGCTGGAGGTCTAGGCTGTGCTCCAGCAGCATAACCTTTGTAATATTTTTCATACCATTCTCTGTAATTTCTTTCCCATTCTCTGTAGCGTTCTTTTTCAAACGGGTCTCTAAAGTCAACATTCCTACCATAGTAAGCTTTTATATCATAAGGTGGTGGAACTTCTCTGTATCTGTTAAAGTATTCACGTTCTGTTTCTCCTTGAGGTATATTTCGTTTATTAGGAGACTGTCCCCTAAAAACCGGAGGAGACCTTGATCGTGAATGGTATCGCCGATATGGGGGTGACCTTGATCTGGAGCGGTGATATCCATGAGACCTGGATCTTGAACGATAATTTCGACTTTTCCCTCTACCTCTTCTGGGATATGGAGGTGATCGTGAATAAGAACGAGAGTGTGAACGACTAAAGGATCGAGAATAGGAACGTGAACGTGAGGAACCAGATCTTGATTTAGAATAGGTGTAAGAACTTCTTGAATAAGAGGAGCCACTATATGGGGATTTAGACCTGAAAACAAAACAAAACCCAGTATTGAGGAATACAAATTAAATGTAGCTTTTACAACTTCTAAGACCTCTCTCTTTTCAGTTTTCTGCTTTTTCTATAACTGTCATATTTTAGTTTATCTAAGGAGATAGAGACCTCTACTGGTATGTGGATGGTAAGCACACAAGAGTGGTCCATAGAAAATCTGTTCAATGAAGGCAAATTCCAACCAAATGGAATATAGCGTACTAAGCAGTAACATCCTGTGACGTGCCTGAGAGGACATAATTTTTTAACACCACACAAGAATGATAACTCTATTTAGCTTTATTCTCCATTTGTTAAGTTCAATATTTGTGACAATATTTTGTCCAATAATATTACAGAAAGAATAAAGTACCAAAATATCAAATAGCTAGTGCTAGCTTTTAAAAATAATCAAATCACAATCAGTTATGAATTTTAAAGATAAAATGCCTTTAAATAAACTTTTAGGGGAATGCTAACTCTGTGCTGCTATTAATAAAAAGTACCAAAATATCAAATAGCTAGTGCTAGCTTTTAAAAATAATCAAATCACAATCAGTTATGAATTTTAAAGATAAAATGCCTTTAAATAAACTTTTAGGGGAATGCTAACTCTGTGCTGCTATTAATAAAACAATCTGAAGTATACTGCAGCTTCATAATTACTGAAGTTAACGTTCCAGCAAAAAGCCATAAAACCTTGCGTTGAAATATTGCTCAAAGATTTAACTACTTCACCATATAATCAACTTCTACAGGGAGCAACTCTATGGAAGAGTAATTGAATTCCTGTGATCTCTTATTCTGGAAAACAGGATTTACAACGAAAAATTTAAATGAATCAACAGATGACAAGAAATGTTAGTTTTCCATTTCTATCAATCTAAATTGAATTATAAAGACAAAAGTACAATCTTGTATTCAGGTATTTCCTTGAATATCCAGTCCCATTATTTTTTTTTTATCTCCTATCTTGTTGTCCTGCTAGATTACTTTTTATTCTATCATGAAGGCTTACAAAACACTAACCTTGAAAATGAGCGCCTACGCTCCTTTTGAATCTTTTTGTATTCCATCAATTCCTTAGCAAAATCATTTGTAAACTCATCTAGTTTGGACTTTTTCTTTTCCCTAGTAAAATAAAGTTAAAGAGTAAATGTTAACAAAAAACTGTGTAAGAACTAACAAGACAAATATAATTAGATCATGAAGCAAATGAATGAAATAGTCAAGTTCTTCATTTTAAAACAGTAACTAGGAATCCCTATTAAGTTTCTTGGATGCCTTATTTTAAATCTTTATGTGGTTTACCTTTTTTCTAAAGAGAACACTGGAAAATGTTTCCACAAGCACCCATTTTAATATATGCTTATCATCATTAAAATGAAAAAATATATATAACTGCAAATTAAATACTCACTCCTCTTTCAGTCGTCTCTGCTCTCTGTAGAACTCTTCCCTGGATAAGGGTGGAGCTTGTGTTGTTGGGATAGTATTTGAATGAGCTGTTTGTACTGCTGTTGATACCCAAGGTGTTGATAAATTTGCAGGTGCTGGAGGGAAACCTGGAGGAGGGACACTGTAGCCAGCTGGTGGTGGTTGCCCAGGTGGAAACTGTGGAGGGAACTGTGGTGGAGGAACACCTGGAGGGAGAGGAAGTGTGTGGGGAGGTGGTGGATACAAAGGAGGTGGTGGTACAGGTACAAAGACGGGTGTTGCTGGTAGTGATGGGCCTTGAGTCCTCTGTGAGCGTTCACCATGGTGTCGTCCTCGATTTATGCTTCTAAAGAAAAAAAAAACTCTTAAGTCATGATTAATTCACATTCACTTTGAGAGCACAATGTAAAATTCCCTACATTTTTAGGGATAAAAAAACCAACCCATTCTTTAGATTTTAGTATATACTTTGAATTCCACTCAATCAGAATTGAATAGATTTCTTTATGTTACCAATTTACTCAGCAAACCCAATTTTGTTAGTGCAATTAAGACAGAGAAAATAAGCCTACTTGGGAAAATAAATGCTTATAAAAGTGTGAAAGATATTCAGTCAATCAATTAAGTATTTATTAAACACCTATTATGTACCATCACTGGGGATACAGAGACAATAATGAAGCAATCCCTGCTCTCAAGGAACTCACAGTCTCTAGATAGGAGAAGACAGTAAGTATTCCTATATACAAAATACACATGGTATATTAAGGTTACAAGGTAGTTTGGGGGGGGAAAGGCATTATCAGCTAGGAGGACTGGAAATGGCATCATGTAGAAGGCAGCATTTAAGGTGGTGAGTCTTGAAGAAAACTAAGAATTCTAAGAGGTGGATGTGAAAAAGGAATTCCAGGCATGGGGGGAGGGATGGGGAGTCTATGAGAAGGAACAGAGATGGGATATTGAGTTTCACATATGAGGAATGGTAAGAAGGCCAGTTTATGCTGACAATGACCTTAGACATTTATCTTCTTGTCCAATCCCCTCATTTTATAAATGAGGCAAATGAGTCCCAGAAAACGGCATTGACTTGATCAAGGTCATTATACCTCATTAGCCAACAGAGCTGGGACTTGACCAGGTATTTTGGCTCCTAGTTTAATGCTCTTTCTACTGAAGATTCTTATTCACTAAAGCAGCTCTTGACAATCTTTGTCCACACATCCAATCACAATTTGAAAATAAAATTATGTCCTCATAAGTAATAAAATTGTACATTTAGCATATCCAATAACATTTTACCAACTCAGATGAGGCATTGATATATATTCTCAATCAGTGAGGTCTAATTAAATTTAATTTTATTTAAATTGAGCTGGATCAAACTAAACATTTATAATGAACACTCAACAAATAAGTAACTGATTAAGTTTATATGTTCAATTACCTAATTTAAATGTATTTATTTGGAGACAATTTCTTTGCAAATATACTTACGGTTCCCAACCAGGCCTACCACCAGCAGAACGAGCAGCATTTATTCTTACTGGACCTTTGAATAGATAAATAACAAAGTATGCATTAAGTGAAGATAAAAATAGATTTTCAAAAATGACTGTAAACTAATGTTATATTACTCACCAGTTGTAGGTATCAACTGTCCATGCAAAAGGGACTGTCCGAGCAAAGAAGGTGTTCCAAGTACAGGCACCTGATAGCCCTTGTGGAAAATCAAGAAGGGGACAGAACAGCAAAAAACAAAATAAAAAAAGCCAGAATTGTCAAATATTATTATTGGGGGAAAAAACCAAACCAAAAGGAAAAAAAAACACCAAACCAAAACTCTAATAGCTTTAAAAAGTCTATTACTCAAATAAATTTACCTTTTCTTCCATCAGTGCACTAATTGCTATTGATGAAGAAGCTTTAGGATGGTCCGATACCAAGGCTGCAGCAGGTATAATTTTATTATCAGGATCACTGGAAAACATAAGATAATTTGTGACAATATAAAGATCAATAGTAGTGGTTCAGGTAACAGCTTAATTAATATTTTAAGCTTTCAAAATGTGCAATGTTTTATTTTGCTATATCAATCTATGTTCCTATAAGTGCACTGGGAAAGGTTCAGAGCTAACTGAGACTCTCAGAGTTAACTTAATAGTGTAACATTAATTACCACATTATACAGGTAATAATTCAGGTAACTCAGGTAACTCACAGTACACTTCACTGATATGCTACATATTATGCACAATATAATCTCTGTCTTCAAAAAGCTTACGATGAACGACTATTAACTTTAAGAAACAACCATGTTGGATATAACATTACCAATGTTACCATGTAAAAAACCAACTATGGATTTATGCTATTTGCTCAGGCAAGGAGGTTTTCAAATAATATTCTCCCAGAACTTACGATGCCAAAAAATGTAAAAGCAAGATTATAAATGTTATAATGTCATAAATGTTATAATATAAATGTTAATATTATTTTAAAACAATATAAAATTTACTAGAAAATCAGCATGTCCTTCAATCTTAAATCAGCACTTAACACTGTGCAGAACAGTATGTACCAGTTAGAGGTCTTTGAAAGACAGTGACATAGCTATTGCAGAGACAAGCAACATGTAAAAGGAAAAAATTTTGGTTTGGAAATCAGAAGACTTGAATTCTTGTCATGACTTTGCTACTAGTTATATGACTTTAGACAAGCTAATTTCTCTTGGTTTCTGTTCACTCACTTATAAAATGAGGTTAGATTAGGTGATCTAAGGTCCTTTTTATTTGAAAAAAAATCTGCTGTTTAATAGTAGCTGAAAAAGATATATTTACAGTATGCTAAATAAAGCCACTCATTGTAAAAGCTAGAGGGAAACTTAGAAATCATCTGTGATAGTGGGAGATTAACGTACCTAGATTGGTTCACTGAAAATTACTGACGTAAAGAAAAAATATCTAACCTTGGGAAGAGAAAAATAGGCATATAAACAATGATTTAAAAATTCTACATGGTAGATAAGTAAAGGGATAGATGTCATTCCTCAACAGTGATGGAAAATCTAGATGGGGCAGACTTCCAATGAGGGATACAAAGAAGTAACAGACTCATTTCCTTGACCTCTAAGAAATTACTAGGTGTCTAGTTAAGCATGGATGCAAATAAAGGTGATAGTCAAAAACAGAGACAGGGATGTGTTTCAACTTCATATGAAAAGAAAGAAGAAATCAAGGTTAGGACAGAAAAGATGGATGGAATTTGCTGCACTGTGAGAGTCAAAGAAAGGAACAGATAAAATCTCCTAGGACCAGAATACAGACAGAGAACAGAAGAATCAGGTATGGGGATACCCCACAGTTAACAGGGGAAGTAAAGAAAAGAAACAACCTTTATTTGTTTTTTTGTTTGTTTTGTTTTTTGCTTTTTTTTTTTCCTGGATAGGCAATGGGGTTAAGTGGACTTGCCCAGGGTCACACAGCTAGTGTTATGTGTCTGAGACTGGATTTGAACTCGGGTCCTCCTGAATCCAAGGCCAGTGCTCTATCCACTGTGCCATCTAGCTGCCCCAAGAAACAACCTTTAGATACAAGAGTTACAACCCCTTGTCCCTGTCTTAAATAGGGAAAAGCACTAGACTAGGAGCCAAGACATTTTGGTGCTTCCCTATTACTCCATTCTACTACTCGAACTGCTTCTCTAAGTCCATCAGGGACAAGTTTAATCTATGAAATACTCCCTTGAGAACCTCAGCTATATGTAACTTCAACCTTCTCTGAACTTCCACAGTATTTATTATCTGTACAACTAGCTTGATACTTAATGTTAACCAGGGTATTACAAGTTCTTTTTATGTTTTGCTTTTTCATGGCTGTACTCCTTGTGGGGCTGGACAAAGTCTCATATTTCCTTTTAACTTCAATTGGCTTTAGCAATGCCCTACACATACCAAAAATTAGTAACAATGACCAATGTGGAGTCAAAAAGGGAAGCAAAAACAAGGCAAAGAAAAATGATTACATTAACATTTTTAGTTGTTTTCTAATATATTAAACACAAACACTTACCGGAAAGGTCCATCTGGTTTTTCTGAATGGACAGAAATAGACACTGTAGCAGTTATATCAGGAACTGGCGCTGGAGTAGAAGGCTGATTTATAGGTACAGCAGATGATAGGGAAGACTGATTAGGAGTCATGGATGATGATATAGAAGTAGCAGCATGAGTAGATGCAGACGTCACCGGAATCATTAAAGGGTCCTGCTGTCTTGAGATTGGAGGTCTCATTAAGGGTTGTAGGTTCCGCTGAATTAGTGGTCTTGGAGGTGGAATTGGAGGAGGTGGTGGGGGTATTTGTTTTCGAAGCCTTTTAGTATAGCCAGTTTCATTTTTGAAGTTATTAACAGCCTAAAGAAACCAAACAGTTTATGTTAAAAAACAAAATTTAATAGGCTTTCTTAGCAGTCAATGGTAAGACGTCCTTTTATATTGAAGAAAATATACAAGACAGGATATATTTACCTGGCGTAAAAATTTGTTGGCAATTAAAGCATCAGGAGATACATCATTCTGATGACAAGTTGGACATGTATGTTCATCTGATTCTAGCAATGCTGTTCTTATACCTGTGTTTCAAGACAATTTGAGTTATAGAAAGGATAACTAAACTTTGGTTCACGATTATACCACTGACTGTACAAACACACTTATCAAACAAGCCCTTTCATAATTCTATGTTGACAAATTCTTTATCTAAAAACCCTATCCAGAGTGCTAATCTAAATCAGTTTTTCCTTTTAGATTTTCTATAATAAACTCTTCACTCTAGGATTCAGATGAAGCAGTTGATACTAACCATTATTGAGATGTGTGGATAAATTGATGAAAATAGGAAAGAAACAATAGTGTTGACTAGTTTACCGCATTACTCTAGAAGGCTGACCATGGTGATAATTTTTTTGGGTCACATCTATGGAAGAAAATCACAAAACTTCTGAAAAGCTAATCCCTGACACAGCTATTAAAATGTTCACTATTTGAGGAAACTGGTCAAAGGTGCTGGATGACAATACAGGATTTAGTGCCGAAAGGGTTCTTTAAAGGTCATCTAGTCCTAACTCCTACATTTTACAAATAAGGAAACTAAGACCAAAGGAGGTTAAGTGACTTGCCCAAGCTTATACAGATAACAAATGGCAGAAGTGGGATTCAAACTCACATCTTCTGACCCCAAATCCAACATTCTATTACCCATGAAAGTTACCTTACCTGTCGATATGAAAAACAAAAAAGAGACTCTCATGAAGGAACCCCCCCCCACCAAACAAGACCCCTGCCTCCCCATTCCATACATATATATTTAAAGTAAAGAATAAAACAAGCAAGAAAACCATGGTGGTACACAGCATGACTATCAGTTACTAACTAGAAATTATGGCCAAAAAAGAATCTGGGGATTACCTTGCAAAAAGTTTCAAAAAGCCAGTAAGAAGTTAAATCTACTAAATGGAGGAAACCATGGAGCCACATTAGGGGAATTCCTTACAATCACAAGAGAAATCTAGGAATTAAAGATAAGAATAACACTGCTTTCAACTTTTCTAAGGAAAATGTTAATGAGATTTCCACCTGCAAAATGTCTTCTAAAATAAATAAGCCAGAATGGTTTTTGGAATGCACAAGATATTCTAGATCTAATCTAGAAATTAGTTGTTAATCAGTAGAACTAGGTGATATTTACTCAAGACTTTCAAAGCAACCCAAGGATGAAAATGGGAATGATAGGTTAACTGTTGTTAGCTTTTTCTTTGGCCACTGTGCTAGAAAACTGGCAGACTGCCACATAACTCTCATGCAGAAGAGAAGATGAATAATAGACCAGGGAGTCTTTCTTCTATGTTAGATAAGCCAAAAGAAAGGATAATAAAGGATATAATTTCTGAATAATGTTGGGCAAATAGTCTATGGGGGAGAGAGAACAAAAATCACATCTTTATTAAGGAAATCCCACTTAATCTGCTAAAGTGCTTCAAGTAAGCAAATCAGCTTTCTGATTAGAAGGAAACAGTTGTATGCAATTTAGGCCATTTGAAATACTTGTAATAAGGTTCCACAAAGCCTTTTAAGAAAAAAAAAACAACTGAGTCATCCTAAGATTGGGTTACTGTTTTTTATTATGGACAAAGAAATGGCTTAAGAGACAATTAAAGTATAGAGAATAAATAGATATCTCTGTGGATTAGTATGAAAACTACTTGTTGTTTCTGACCTATGATAAACTAATTCCTATCATCTCCCAGGTAGCATTGCTGGGACTAGTTTATAAATGGTACTATGGTCTTTGGATAATGAAACTGCAGTAAGAGACTCAGAGATGAGATGAATGGTTGAACAGACAAACCACGTGGTAAACTGTAGGTAGTGGGTATTTTTTCATTATAGTGTGGGGTGAAGGTGTGAAGGAGAAAGGGGACTACTGGATGTCTCTTTTAACTAGAAAGAGGTATTTTTAGATTAAAAAGAAGGTGTTTTAAATAACATAGGTAAAAGAATTATCATCTCTGAAGGCTTAGTTCAATTAATAGATAAGACGTGCCAGCCAATTAAAAGAAAAGTAGTATGATGTATCACCACCTATCCCTAACTTTTTGAAGCTGACACTAGGAATGACAATTATTCAGCTTCCTACAACATTGTCCAAGAGTGGGTAAGACTAGCTGGGACAAATGACAGTCTTGACTTATGACTATGGCAAGTCATTCTTACAAACCAGAATCCCCACCTGTTGTCATAATTAAATCACAAAAATGTTACATTCATTTTTAGGTAAAACAGTGATAATTATACCTGGTTCTATTACCACTGCAAAGACATACAAAGAAAACTTGGAGAAAATGGAAGTCCAAACAAATGTAGTTAATGCTCATGAACGTAGGTTTTACTTTGCTGAATATTTATCCACTCAACACTTAATTTCTTACCTGTGATAAAAGACAGTATTTCCCATTTCCTCATTTTTATTAACATATTCAGTTGCAACATTTGGGAAATAAAATGGCATGGGCACATCCTGGTAAGAGTATTTTGAAATATATACCACTTCTAGGGTTAACTGAACTTACATTCATCACAATAACTGTTTCCACAGCAAGGTATGACAACTGCATCAGTCATTATATCTTTGCAGATTAGACATAACAATTCATCTGGGATAGGGTCATCCTCTTCTGATGAAGAGGATGGTTCCTCTGGTAGGAAAGGTGGTTTTTCTTTCTTCCCTATGGCATATGCCTCTCTGAAATAAAAGAATTTAGACCTTTAAAAAGACTTTTGTCAATAAGGTATAGCATTACCTAAATCATGCCACATATTCCATTACATAATGGAGAGCAAATGTAATACCAAGCAATGAATTATAGCCACTTGAGTCATTCAACAGAAGAAATTAGACAAATACCATATGTTCAAAATGATCAGGGAAACAATTTCTTTACGTAGACTCTCTGTAAACTATGCAAAAATGTTCTGGGGCAGTAATTAATGGTAAGTAAATCAAAATTTAAAAAAAAAATTTTTTTGGGGGGAACAACGACAACTTTAGAGGGCCTCTAGTAATTTTCACAAATGAGGAAATTGAAGTCCAGAGACATTAAGCTATGTCTAAGATCATAAAGTCTGTTAGTGATAAAACATGGATTAAAACTCTCTGGAAATATAGTCCAATCTATCACACTTTTTATTTTTTTTTCCTAATTTTTATTAATTTTCTTTGAAATTTTTTTCTATAGCCTTCATCATGTTACCATTACCAGTCTTTGTCAAGTTAACACAAATAAGATGAAAAACTACAATTAGTATTTATATCACAATACACAAGAAGTGACAGTTTTAAGGGAAATATTTATATCATCACCATGCATATCTATTCATAGTAAGCAGCAGCAGATTTCAAGACAAGTCTATATTATGATCAGTGTTGAAAGAATGTATTCATCTATTCATAGTCAGCATCATGGAATATTATTGCTTTATAACTGATTAAATGATTGGGATTTTGAACATGTGCTACAAAGAGATGAAATGACACTCCACCAGACATTCCTTGACAGTCTCATCTGAGTGTACAATGTGTTTAGTAGAAATGTATTATATTAAAATGTGCTACAGAAATGGAAACCCTTCTGGTAAATTTTAAATGATCACCAAAAAGCCATTAGATTCCAAATATTGCTATCCCCTCCCCTGCAACCACCCTTCTTTCCCTTGTACAAATCTAGCAAATTTGTAGAACAGGAATGTCAGGCCTTAAGTTTTTAAAGAAATGCCTTTCCATTTCATTTAAGGAACAGTGTGTAGCTCTCAATGCGGAAAATGAAAGAATCTGAGCTGTACGTATTGGTAGTAGGGTACCTTAGGTGTGTTATTTGTGTTGCAGCTGCTCCATAGACATCACCACGATTCCAGAAATAAGTATCAATTTGCTTATGCCCCATTGTTCCCAATTTGTGAAAGAGGAGTCTCCCACTGCCCAAGAGAGAGAAAAAAAAAAGAAAAAAAAAAGAAGAGAAGAGGAGGAGAGGATAGAAAAAAGAAAGAAACAGAAGAGTCTGAGTTGCTTACCAGCGGTGTTAGTGGAGAGGGTGAAGGTTTCATTTAAAAATATTTTGGTCTCCCATCTCTCCCCAATATATCTGTTGTGTGTTTGGCACAAAGGGGTTTTGTATTTCAGCATTCAAGAGGGGTTTCAAAAGCAGAGGTTAATTATTAGTTGGGGTTCACAGGCAATGTTAATTTTTCCACCACAACTTATATTCTTTTAACCCATTTAAGTAAAATATAACTGAATAGGTCTGCTCTTAAAATATATAGTGTCTGGGCTGAAAAAGCAATTTTAGCTTAAATTTGTTTGGAAATTTCTATATAATGTCTTTGAAGTAGAGACAGTATATATGCTCAAGCTGCTTTGATATGAAACCACAAAAACACAGGACAGTGATTGATATAAAGTGGATGGTATGGGTAAGTGAGCAGGGTACAAGTGGGAAGGGGAGGTGAATTTGAGAAAAATTAAAAAAACAAACAAACAAAACTTCATTTAAAGCTCTACATAATCTAATTCTTATCTGTGAACTAAAACAAAACAATAGTATTTTCAATGTCTTCTTTACTATTTTAGGCTTTTCATTCCACTTTAAATGTGTACATCACTTTCTCTCTTACTGGCTCACTCACTGGACTCTCATAACAAATATTTGTTGAATGTAATATTAAGAAGTGTTTCATTTCTGCACATTAACACTGTATAGGACCAAAAAAACATCTGGAGATCAAGGGTTATCCACATTCTGTATTTCTCATATAGTATTTATTTTCATACAGCCTTTCATAGTTTTAAGAGACACCTTATAGAGCATTAAGGTCAACCTCAACCCGACCCTTAAATTCCCTCTCCAACATCCTTGACAAGGGAGTGATCCAACCTCTATTTCAATATCTCCAAAGATAGGGAATTTGGTTAACTCTCAGAGAAGTCCATTTGGCCAAGTTCTACATGTTAGGCAATGTTTCTTTATATCTAACCAAAGTCTGCCTCCCTGTAGATTCCCACTCCCAGTCTGCCTTTCAGCGCAAAGCAGAATAAATCTAATTCATCTTCTATGTGTGACAATTCAGATGCCAAATGGAATAAAGAGAGCAATAAATAATAACTTGTTAACCACTGGAGAAAATATTTTAGTTTACCAGATGATAAAACTAATTTTATGGCCCTTGATACTGTCCTCCTTTATCTTCTTAAGAGTACATGACACTAAAACAAAGTAATCATCAATCAACTTTTAACAATACAACCAATTTCGCCTAATATTTAACCTTCCTGAAGCTGAGATTTTCAAACTTACAATATACTTAAACCTACAACTAACATGAAATCTGCTGTATGTATTACTCAGCACATTTATCTTTTAACCCCTAATACATAACTTTGATCCAAATTCATTAGAACTAAAATAATTATCTCAGATTTCATGATGATATGTAAACTCCCTCACTCTCAAAATAAACTGCCTATAACAGAAAATAAATCTAGGGGAACATGTGCAAGTATGTATGTGAATGAGGAAAAAGGCAGGGAATGCCAGGAAAAGAAAAATTAGAAGACTACAAGGGAAGGGGCACCCACATGGACAATTTTACAAAATTCCAAAACCCACTTAAAATTTGCTTAAAATGGAGCAGACTGCAGCCTCTCATCCTTAATATAGAAATGCAACTTGTGGAGACCAGAGGTCTTAGCATACAATGTTCCCTACCGGGTATAAATAGCCAACTCACAAGCAACAAAACAATAGCATTGCACCCTGGGACCTATAGTCTCCACAGGTCACATTTTTTGCCCCACCTCTAACCTGAGTACTTACGCATCTATAGTTGGGATTGCATATTTTCCAGTGTTGGTAAGCATGGCACCTTTCATGTTAGGATCTTTCACCTCCATCATAAAACTTCTAGGAATTCCAGTACTCTTTTTAATCCTGGGAACTGATTCAAAGTTTTTATCCTAGTCAAAAAAAAACCACAAATGTTTTCATTTGTGAAAATAACACAAAATACTTAAACAGCCAAATTTTTACTAACGATGATCACTCAACATTTATATAGCTTTATGGTTTACATAACACTTTAAAGGTAGGAAGTGTATAGGGGCAGCTAGGTGGTGCTGTGGATAGAGCACCAGCCCTGGATTCAGGAGGACCTGAGTTCAAATCCGACCTCAGACACATAACACTTACTTAGCTGTGTGACCCTGGGCAAGTCACTAAACCCCACTGCCTAACCAAACCAAAACAAAAAAACGAAAAACAAAAAAAGGTAGGAAGTATAAATTATTTATACTTAATGAGATTAAATAATCTGCCCCAAATTCACACAGCTAGTTAAAAACAAAAGCCAAATTCTAGTCTTTTCATTCCACTCTCAGAATGAAGCTATAACAAAAATTCTACCTAGAAAAAAAATTTTCAACTTTAAAATGTTAAAAGTCCTTATATATAGTATTCTGGTTAAACAAAAAGTTGTTTCAGTGTGATAATCCTGGGACCCCTCCAGTAAGAAGTAAAATAGAGCTAAAATATCTGTAACAGACTAAAATATCCTTTTATGATCAATTATCTTATGTAGTTCTTGATTTACTCATTTAAGTTAAAAGGCTTCTTTACTGGTCTTCATATAATCTTACTTGAAAACAAACACACCCACAAATATAAACTGACTTCAGAGTACACACATTGCTTCTGAAAGTAAGATTCTGAATGGGAGAGATTATCTTGTCCAAGTCCTTAATTTTACAGATGATGAAACTGAGACCCAGAAAGGTTAAATGACTTGCTCAAGGTCACACAAGTATCAAGAGAACCAGGATGCCAAACTCAGTGCTTTTTTCATTACTAAACGCTTCCTTGGCATTACAATTTCAGTTGGATTACTAGGATTAATCGAATTAAAAAGTAATTTTCTTATAATTTTATGCTCTTTTTACTGAAATGTTAACTCAAATGACATAGAAAAGACTCTGAAATTGAATTACTAGAAGCTTAAGAATGAACAAGAAAATGCAGGCAGCTCAGTACTACCTACCATTATTTGTACTTCAAGGTCCTCTTATTACTAGGAAATACTAAGGAAGACATTAGACTTCTAGGAAAAAAAGCACAGGTCAGTAGGAAGGACTGTAGTCAGATGTGATTTATTAGGGTCAATATGACATAGTAAAGAGAGTGTAGGACTTATCCTGCCTCTCATATTCAGTGGCTGGGCAAGTCTGTTAACTTTTTGAGCCTATAGTTTTCATCTGCAAAATGAGGTTAAATAACATGTTTAAGTTAACTTCTTTAGAAGGCTGTTGAAAGGACCAAGTGAAATGATGTATATAAAGCCTTTTGAAAACATGAGGGTGCTATCTAAAGGCCAGTAATTTTTATCTGATAAAGTATGAAAATAGTATAGAATTAAGAATTTGACAACATGGGGTTATTACTGAATTTTCCCATTCATGTTTTTTCCCATGTAACTTGATTCCTTGCAAAGCTTTGAAAGATAAAAATGTCTGATAAAAAGCAATCTTCTATTTGTTTCAATATAGCTAACATATAAAATTATTCTTTAAAAAGGTAAAATTTGAAATGATGAAAAATATAGGACTGCATTCCATTTTAAATGTAAATGGAAAGCAATTAACTCTAACTTAGTGACTTTAATAAACACAGACCACTGACCTTATTGGGGTAGCTACGTGGTACATTGGATAATGCGCCGGGCCTATAGTCAGGGAGACTCATTTTCCTGAGTTCAAATCTGGCCTTAGACACTTCCTAACTGTGTGACCCTGAGTGAGTCACTTAATCCTGTTTGCCTCAGCTTCCTCATCTGTAAAATGAGCTGGAGAAGAAAATGGCAAACCACTCCAGTCCCTTTGCCAAGAAAACCCCAAATAGGGTCAGAAAGAGTCAGACACAACTGAAAATGACTGAACAACTTTACTGCCTCTCACTATACACTGGTGGATCACTAAACTGAGGCAAAAGAAGTTGTTTAGCTCTTTCAATTAATTATTTGGATTTATGGAACGTGCAAAAGTCTCATCAAAGTTAAAATACCAATGAATGTTGTCAGTGAAGAGGCAACATGAAAGAGTACCATATTATGAAACTGAAGACCTGGATTGTAGGCCTAGCTTGGACTCTCCCTGTCTAACTAGCCTGTGACCCTGGACAAGTCACTTAACCTCACTGACCCTCACTCACATTTTCTTCAACATTAGGGAGTCAGATAAGAGTAAATGTTATGTCATTCACAACTCTGTTAATGTCATAAAAAAGAAAGCACATCAGACTTTGAAATTCTTTAATTTATTGTTTTAAATTTTCTGCATTTGAACATAATTGAAGACTCAAAACAAATAGCATGAGTTAGGAGGCTATGAAAAAAAATTAATGAAAACTACACCTTGGATTTAAAAATTTTAACCATTTAACTATTTTCTTCCCCGCTAGGGAAAATACAAAAAAATCGTATTAACTTCAATTGTATTAAGAGCTAACATTATTACACTCATATTTGGTTACATACAGTTCCAAGGAAGTTTACCCAATACTCAATGAAAAAAATTAATGTTCGTTAAGGAGGGTAATTTTGAATCCCAGCTCTGCCACTTAACTACTACCTACGTAACCCTGAGAAGGTAATTTCTCTTCTCTGGGCTCATTTTCTCATTTGCAAATGGAAGATGAGACTGGATGAACTTAAGTCTCCCCCAACTTTAAGTCTATGATCCTATGATCTCTAAATGCAGACAAGAGATGCCTAAAGACCTTTTATTTTTCTTGTTAGTGACTATTGGTTTTTTTTTTTAACATATTTACCTTGGATGTTAAAAATTCTTCTAACATTAGCCACTGATCTTTTTTTAAGTCAACTGAATTTATAGTATTTGAAGCTGAATGTAAGACTGAACTTCTCATTAGCTGCTAATTACCCCACATTAGGAACTATTTCACTCTATAATTCAAAGAATAATTAGTTTTCATACTATAGTAATGTTTTTGGATTTGGAAAAGACTGTATGTTTATAAAACAAATATCTGTTTGATTCATAGAACTTACCCCATTTGTTGGGCAATTCTTTATGTAATGACCAGGTTTACCACAGCGAAAACAGGTATAGGATGGTGGAGGGGGACCCAGAGGTTTCTTCATGTAACTGAAAGTTAAAAATAAGATATATAGACACACGGATATATGTGTACACACACACACACACACACACACACACACACACACACAAATGCACACACGCACATATACACAAGATCAACTACATTTTCCCCCCTTTCAATGCAAAGAAAATCCCCACCCATTTTACTATTACAAAGGATCAACTTATGAACTTACTTGATTGGATCATATTCGTGGCCAGACTGTGACATCATTGCTTTAATTTTATCTTCTTCAGAAGCATTGGCTTCAGCCAGATTGGCAGTCTGTTTAACAGGTAATTATTTGACACACACATTAGAAACACATTTAAGTCCACACAGCCAAAGACAACACCACTCACCCAATCCTGTAAAGAGCAGCATCTAACTAAAGTTGCATCAAAAAAGCTACTTATATATACTCCTGAAGATGCTCTGGGGAGTTCCTTAAGCCATTACATGATGTTTGGGTGTCTGTTTACTTGAGAAATATTTCTTGGGGGCACCCAAAACCTTAGGCCCTGTTTGTACTTTATAATAAGACTGTGTATCTTCTCTAAACTTAGACTGATGTTAGGTGCAGGAAAAAAAACCCCCACTCTTTTGGATGTTCTCTTATTCTTAGATGAAATCTCAAATTTCATGTTATAACTATAATTAATTGGATTATAGCTTCAGTATAGAAATCTGAGTATGTTGTAGAAGGAATTAGAAATTAATATTTAGATTTTGATTTTACATGACTACAAGTTATGATAGATTATTCAAAATTTTAATTTAAGTAGGTCTAAAACTTATGTCAAGCTACCTTTCAAATATTAAAGATGCTTAATTTAGAAAAGATTTACCATGTTAATAATTCATTATACACTAGTCCAGATACAAGCAGGGTCTAAGGGAGTGACTCTTCAAGCATCTACTAGCATTCAGATCAGCCATTCATTGGGTTTTACCTTTTTACATTCATTCACAAAACAAGCAACCAGTTTCAATGTTTTATTGTCAATTTCATATACAATACTTTTCTTAACATTAACACAGCTTAAAATGACAGTAACATTTACAGAAAATTTGATTACAGATGTTTAACAACTAATTTGTTTGAACCCAAACATTAGTTTACAAACAACCAAAAAAAAAAGAAAAAAAGAAAAAAGAAAAACCAAAAATCCTCCCAAACCTCCCCCTGCAAAACATTAGTAGGAATAAACCAAAACTCAAATATGGCATTTGTAATACATAAGAATAAAACAGTAAACTGTTAAAGACATTGCCTCTATGCTAAACCACACTGCATTAAGAGGTTAAAGTAAGTAACAGTTTTAACCTGCTTTATGTTATGAGGTTATCTGAATCTTTATTCTTCAAAAACAGTAACTTAAAAGATGTTCACTATTAGGACAGTTTTCACATTTTTTTGAAAAAAAAATGGACACAAGCTAAAACAAAACCAAGGACAGGATAGGGACAGCACTAATGGAAAATTTATCTTTTCACCTCACTTTCATGTTAATTTTGGCTTGCCTAAAGCATGTAAGATTGTGAAAATTCTTGATAGTTGGTGGGGTCGGGGTGAGGGGAAAGAAGAGAAGCTATAAGCTGGAGAACTCCTAACTTCACCTCCAAAGTACATCTGTCTACTCTGAGATGAGTTTTACTTATTGAAAAGTTGATAACTCTATTTGTCCAGTATAGTCAAGTCACTAGTGCTTTCCCAAACAAAAGGTACACATTATTGAGCAGAATATATATGCAAGCAATCTTATAGCAAAACATGGCATATACAACAGTTTCAAGAAGTGACATTTTGCCCATATGCCAAACATTATACATTGGTATATTCCTATAAACAGTTATATACACTTACACAATTTACATAGTCTGTGTTCAAACAAATTAGGTTGCTTAACTTGTCTACTGCAGACAGACCACAAGTCTATAATTTTAAAAAAACCCCAAAAAACAAAGAAACCAAGCAACTGAAACATTCAAAATATTGGCCATCAGGTCAATTCAGAAATCCAAGAAATAATCATGTGATTGTCCATGTATTAAGGAAAAGCTTCTATTTTGGCTGTCTAAATAAGTCCACATAATATACAGCCAAACAGGAAATTCCTCCCGAACTTTGTTAGTTTCCAATGTAAAATTAAGCAAAAATGCATGAGGTAAAAACTGCTAAATGTAGCTTCATGTGCTTCTTCTTTCTGTCTTGAAGATGAGCAATACTCCAACATTATGTTGAGGCTGATAAGGTACTCCCCTATCTTCCCAAAATTGGAACTACTCTTTACAGGATAGTAAAAAATAAATGTACATTTTTTTGCAAATAAAATTAATTCCCCCCTTTGAAAAATTTGCACCAAATACAAAGTTATTCATAAGAAAATACAAGTGGTTCAAGAATATATATATATATATATATATGTATATATACCTTTGTAAGCTGGGCCAGAGAAATAGACGCAGAAGAGTCATCAATCTGTTCATAAAAAATTAAACACACATTCAAGTTCCACACTGAAAACATCTGTAAGTGATAATTAAGCCCTAATGCTGTTTAAAATCAAGTACTGGGCATTTCCTTAAAGTTTTCTAAAGAGCATGTTTTCTATTATATGCCATGTGAACTTAAAGTGTAATTGATCCTACTTTATTCCTCTCATAAATGTGTCTGTATATCTATGCTGATATATATCAAACACAAGATAACATGTGAGGGTTTCAGTTACAGTAAAGAGATTGGGGATAGGAAAGAATATCAAATAGAAGGCTTATAATAAAAAGTACTAGAAAAATTCCACACCTTTCAATCCTCTATCTTTAACTGATGATGTTCATGATTGATTGATTGCACACTGCAATCTTTGTCAGTGCAGACTTTCACACTGCCAAAATTGAGTTTTAAAATAAAAGGTAGTCTAAGAACCAGAAAAGTGTTTTTAATATTTCAAGATTGCTCCCATCTAAAATGTCACTGTTATTGTGAATACATGTGCCTAGTCTCCTGAAAAGTCTAACATAGCTTCTTGTTTTAAAAAGGAAAAAAAGAAATAAGGAAAAAAAAAAGCAAAGCTATGTTAAGGCAAAGATTTCAAACGAAATGTAGGAGGCAGGGAAGGGAGTAAAAATAAGGCATCCTGTAGAGGTGAGGAAAATAGTCACTATGAGGCATGAACCTTTTCATTTTCACCCTTGAAGGAAAGGTAGTCAGTAAGATTTTCACCCTGTCTCTAAGAAAGCCACTATACTGGCCAAATAGAATTAAGGTGTACACTGCTAGGAAATAAGGGACCTTGACCCTAATGTATTTCAATTTTTCAAAAATTACCTTCAATATTCAACCACCTAAAATGATATTTTTAGTACCAGGTAGGAGGAACTACATCTCCACGATATATACTAAAGTTAACTTTGATATGAGCTCACTGTAAGTGTATGTATACAATGACCTGCTTATGTATAAAATACATGTTAACTGAATTCAGCCACACAGAGTAACTGATTTAAAATGTCAAAAAAAAAAGAACTATGTAAGTTATCTGCCTAAAACAAATATTCCAATGAGTAAATAGGAGAAAATAGTTCTTTATTAAATGTCTTGCTTATATTTTTTCAAAATATTAAGTTTCGACCTATTATACTTCAATATTTAAAGTGATCAAAATCTAAAACCTTTTGAATCTGACATCAGTTTTGGAGGAAATTTAAAGCAAGGAACATTGTCAGCCACCACCTATGTTCCGTTTTTAATGGGAAAGTAAAAAAAAAAATGAACAGCTTTTAAAAAATTGATTCATATTGTCTCTGATTGGACCTAAATCGGCAATACAAATTTTGTCGATACTGACCTGATTTCCTTGGGAGGGAGGAGGGTTGTAAGGAATAATAATTTTCTTACCTCCAGAGGTTGTAAATAAAATGAGTGACTATTAATTTCAAGAATTAATTCCTTGGTATATTTCCTACCCCCAATACATCTGAAGATATGGCTATCTTTTCCCTTTTATACCATATCTCACCTTCATTCTAGTTTCCACTTTAGCCTCCCACTGAACACTACTATGCATATCAAACTGTCTTCTCAATGAATTAGATAGGGTTTGGTTTGTATGAAAAGAAACCCAAATTATTAAACAGTGACTTATTTTTATGGAGGTGTTGTGACACCTAAGTAGACTGTAATCCACAAAAGCCAAGTTTATCATAAATTAAGTACTTGGAACTTTAAAAAACCCAACTTAGTTTGCCACATACTTCAAAGGCTTTAAGAGTGGAAAATGGCAAAGTGTTTAAAAAAAAAAGTTAGGGATTCACAAGTATTAGGTAACAAACAACCAAGTAGCTACTGTCAAAGTATCTGAGTTAATGAAGACTACTGCTTAAAGTCCTCCCAAAAGTGACAATGATTCATGTTACAGACTCATTCTTGCTTTATATGTAAACTGCTGAAATGAAAAGAACCCAACCTCTGCATCTAGTCAGTGGTCTTGATTCTGTGAGCAATGGTTTAAATCAGAATATACACACCATTTTACTGGCTTGAGGAGACATTTGTTCTCAGTTTTAAAAGACTATAAAATTCATTTCTCACTGTTTAATATCAGCATATAGACAGCTAGTTTTCATATCATTAACATGGAAGGATGACTAAACGAAATAAAGGCAATTTAGAAAATTATCTCTTAACTAGAGAATTGGTTTAAAGCATAAAGATGATATATCTCTTTTTACCAACCAGATGAATGAATCTAGTCTATGATGCTTATGCCTTAAATTTTGTGTATGACTTCCATCCATGTAATTCTTAGTCTTAGAAATTCAGGCAGCAACTTATAATAGTAATGCCCAATGAATACATACTTATGTACTCTCCCTACCTATGGTCCAGACTTGTTAAGCTTTAATGTCAGAAAATATACCCCAAGTATACATTGGGGATAAAAAGTTAACTAATGACTCCATTTTAGCTCACTTTTACCTACTGTTAAGTGGCTATTCTTTAAAGAATGTTTCTTTTTAATAAAACAAATGAAAACCTAAAAAATTGCTCAAAATAAACTACTACTTAGAAGTATAATACAGACATGCCAGGGAACACACGAGGCTAAAAGAATGTTAACTTTATTTATGAACATGTGATTTTGTGTTTATACACATGCTAGTAAACAAAAAAAGGAAAAGAATTCTGTTTTCAAGAAATAAAAGTTTCATCTGAATTAGTTCATTTACTGTAAATGTGGTTTATACAAATGCATTACATTAACTACTACAGTCACCGGGACAGTTAGGCTAATTTGCACTAGCATTTGGATACACACTGATGCATTAAAAATCAATTTTAAACCAATCACCAGCAAAAAACAGAAATCTGGACAATTTTTACAGATTTATGCTTCAAAATAAAAACCAAAAAAAAAAAAGGAAAAAGAAAAAAAAGTAAAGTACTCTGAATGTAGGAATTGTGAGCTTCGAATAAGAGAATAAGTATGTCTAGTTCCACGAGAACTAAAGGCTATATTCTTTATAGAATACAAGCCCAAAACTCATAAACCTTTAAGTTAAAATATATTTGAGAACACAATGATATAGGGTTAGTGCAATGACTCATACATCATTCTAGATGAAGATCAGCAGTCCTTAAAATGGATAAATAAACTAGCAAGGAATCTGGATTCTGTACAAGTATGAGAAATAGAACATCTAGAGAACCAATTACTATAGCCTTGTGTTTTGTTTGAATCAGATCAAGTTACTTTTCACAACTAAAAGAATATTGCTGCCTTTTTTACCCAAGCTGTTGTCAAACTGGTGGTATACTAAGTAGGGTTTAACCTGTGATATAGTTGACCTAAAAAAACATTAACCAGGTTAAGAAAAACCACTGCTGACAAAATTACTACAGCTGGGGATCCCACCTACAGTTGTGTAGCACCTTAATGTCTTCACACCTCCAAACCTCCTTTCCCCCATTCCCCATAAAAAAAAAAGAATAATTTTTGAAATCTAAATATTTAAGTCTACTTGCTTACTTCAGTGGGAGATCCAAATAATTAAAACCTCAGAAAACTATTTTGCATACCCAGTAAAACCATTAACCATTTTAAGACCTGTTTGTACTAGGGGCACAATTTCAAGGTTTATTTCATAGCACAGTTTTAAACAAAGAAAAAGAGCTCAAATTTCCAAATGCAGAAGATGAATAATTTAACTGCATCAAATGCTCCTGGAGAGCTCTTTGCACGAGTGTTTAAGTTCTAGGTTAGGAAGAAACATCAAACTTTTAACAATATAAAACTTCACAGAAGTTTCTATCGCATTTTTCAAGCCATCTGGCAGGCAGAAAAAAAAAATCTAACAAAAACTAAGTGATACAACGTGAAAATGGCAAGGTATACACTCCAAACATTTTTTATTGCAAAAAACAAGAAGCACACAACAGCCTATACATACATACAAAATACTAACTATAGACAGACAGATGTAGAACATGGCATCATGTTCATTTAGTGCAAACCTTAAACCTACATGATCTAAAAAGGATCATACATTATCTGTACAACACAGAGTCATACAGGAAGTAAATCTATCATATTCAATATGAAATACAGTGCTTTTCCTGGCACAAGTTATCAGTTTCTACAATAGAAGTGTGCAAGTTATGGTATAAATATAATATTCAACTAAACTGTAAGCAAATACATTGTATTTACAAGATGTACTGCAGTGGGAAAAATGAAAAGTTCTAAAACGGATTCACATTTCACTGCTACATTAAACGTTTTAAAGTTAAATGCAATGTGTAGAAAAAGTGTGAGATTGTGTTTTTACATACTGCTTTTGAGGTTCCACTCACTGGTTCAGTTCGACTTCTAAAAAACAAAACAAGCCCTGTTAGAATATCCAATGGATTTTTTCAGTGTCAAATATTTCATGAATATCTGTGCTGATAAAGTCTTAATACATACATAAATACTGCACATACGCAAAAATACAATTCTCCTTTGATGCTATGAGCAACAACCACCAATTAATCTTTGCAGTTACAAATGTACCATCTAATTTGATTAAATGCTTTCAACCTCTGTGAAATTAAGGTATAAATTACATGTAAAGAAAAAAAGTCTTGCTCTGGAATTATAATACAGTTGTACCTTGCTTTTTTTTTTAAAGTATTATACCTAGAAGACTGTAATTTCAGTATTACTTTAAAAGCTATAATAAAAATTTGCTATATGGAAGCCTGTATTTGAGAGTTTTTCACACTGAAGAATACAAGGTTAGTTTTTTGTTTAGCTTTTCCTAAATAAATCTTGATTTTCACTTTTTTTTTTTAAAACAGCAGGGCACACTTGTAGTAAAGATTTAGGTTTTGGGTCCGTGAGGAACTGCTATGCTGCACATATTCTTAAATCAGCAATATGCATTCAGGCCCAAACTTGGTTTTCTGTTTAATTTTCCAAAGCAGTGACAAAGTAGTAAATGAAAGGTTAAAACAAGTTAAGCTAAAATTCTAATCTTGAAATGAGAGCATACACAGTTGGACAAAGTACTTCAGTTAAAAAGAATGAGTAAAATGTGCTTTACTGAGAACTGGATAGAACACTGGAAGAGAGATCAAGAGTACTCGTAAGCCCAAGCAGAAATTCCTTTAAAGAGTCCCACACACCAGGGGGTATACTAAACATAAACCTTACATGTTCAGTCTTATTTTTAACAATTTAAGCTATGTTGACTATAAAGTAGTGTTAGAATATCACCTGAAAGGAGTTTCTAGGATTGTGCGCGATTTGGAAGTCCTGTGACAAAAGAAAGTTTTCATTTTCCAATATTTGCTTAACAAAAAATTCAGAAGCATTTTTACAGATGTTAGAAGTTTTACTACAAATGAAATCTTATGTTCCATAAAAACTATTTTGCATGTTATATTTAGTGAACTGACATGCAAGTTTTAGTGTTAAAGGCATGTGCTCATTTGCTATGCGCTTCCTTTTAGAAGTTTCCCTGACGGTTGGTGTAGATTGCATTATTTACTCAGAAACAATGTTCACTACTCTGGGAGAAGAAAAAAAAAAGTTAAACAATAAATTTATACCATTTATAACACTACAATAATTAGTTGTACAATAATTATAGTACAATAAATAAGTTTTCTACTTGCAATTTCTCAAAAACTCAAGTTTTGCCACCAAGAAGGATCAAAATAGATAATGTCCACAAGGCTCTTGGTAAGCTTTAAATCAGTAGTTATGTGTCAGCTTATTATTATGTAGCAGACTAATATACAATGCTAGGTCTTAAAACACTTTTGGACTATGATTTGTTTGGCTGCTATAAATATAAGATAGTGTCATGCCTTTTATACTAAAATGATCTCCCAATGTAAAAGATCTAGACCTAATCTTTTAAGAGTAGTTTCTAAGAAATACTATTAGCTATGTGTTAGAGTTTCAAAAATGTTTTTAATTTGTTTTGCCTTATGCTCATCATTAGTATCTTATTTCCAAAATTATCAAGTTTGAGTTTATTTCACTGAAACATTTTGGTTAACAGTTAAAAACAAAATAAAATAAAACCTATTCCCCACCATTCAAAGTAGAAACCCCTATCTGGCACTTATGTACTTACGACTCCTTTCTAGGTCATTATCATTCTGCTGCCAGTTATGCCTATTCTGCTCTCTTCTCTGAATTTTCTAAATTTTAAACTGCTGTTCCCATTTTTTGCTCCATCTAGCCCCACAGCCCTTACTGGTATGGGGAGTAAGGAATAAAACAAATGCTTGGGACTGTTAGCAAATTATATTGCTTAAATACTCTTGATGCTGATACAATAATTCCCAGCATAAATCTCTTGAACTTTTCCACATCATAAGGAAAATCCTACTTTTTAACTGTGAAAGCAGAAAACATGTAGCTATAACATATAGGGCCTATGATTTCAATGAGTCTCTTATGCCAAAGACAGTTATGAATCAATAGCTGGGGGGGGGTAGGAGTTAGTAGGTACATGGGTACATAGAGCAAAATGGATGTGGGTGAGGAAAAGACAATTTTAATTAAAGCAGGGGAAAAAAATCCTTTTTAAAATATAAACCAGTAACCTTTATAGGGTTTGAATAACATTTCCTATAGTTATTAAATAGTAATTAAGACAAAAGAAGGCAACCTGTTTAAAAAAGGGGAAAAAAACTCAGAAGAAACTGGGACTAACCTATGGGATAATAATAAAGGAAAACAACCTACAATATGAATTTAACTTTTGGTATGCTCTCTCTCAACCCCATACCACTGCCAAAATATTCTATATGAATATACAAAATTTGATAACTACTTACATAACATATGTCTTGCTTGTAGATTTAACACCTCCAATAGGAATTCTTCTTACAATAACTGATGAATTCTTGGGAATCAGGGCATTGTCATCTGTGTATTCTGAAAATAAAACAGGAACTTTTAAAAACCCCATTTTTCGATTTTGATATATCATGACCCATTCAGCCAAAAAAATAAAAAGAAAGCATTCTTATTATTCAAAGATTTTAAAATCTGATTTATCTATTACAGATGAAGGATGAAAAAAATCTTAAAATATCTCAAGGCTGGGTATGGTGATATACACTTGTAGTCCTCACTAGTAGGATGGCTGAGACTGGTGGATCACCCGAACTCAGGAGTTCTGGGGTAGAGTAAGGCTAAATCAAGCCTACAGGGGTGGGGCCAGGTGAGCCATTAGGCTGTCTAAGGAGGGGAAGTTGAGTTGTCAAAGCTTCTATGCTGATCAGCAGGGCGATCAATCTGTGATCTGCTGGCAGCCACTCTAACTCCAAGCTGGTAAGGAGACCTACTTCTTTCCTCCCTCTTAAATCTTATTATTCTTCGCATTATCAAAATTAAAATACTAAATTGTTTTAGATTCAGTAAAACACGAATTTAGGGAATTTGTGGTTACCCATCTGAGTCACAACCAAGTTCTTTTGAATTTTAACTACCTTTTTTGCCAAGGTCTGTGAAAGTGTTTCATATAAATATTTATGGGTTTGTATATGTATGTCTATATTCATGCTCTATACGCTAAATAGAGACTCCTACATCAATGGAAATTGCCAGCTTTTGTTTCTTGATTGGCAGTTACACTTATGTGGTAGTGAGAATCTGTGTCTGAGTGAGGTAATGTGTCTCTCTAATTCATAATCCCAGATCACTAATATTGTACATATTGGGGTTTCTAAAACATGTAATTCCACAAAAAGAAAACTGTGCCCATCTAACATAAAGTGCTGTATGTCCCCTACAATTCTGATATGCTTGATTCTTGAAATATTTAAAAAAAATTTTTTTAGTTTAAAAAATTAAGATACTATTCAATTAAGCCAATATACATATTTTAAAATCTAAAAATTGGATACTAGGTCTCTAAACATTTAAATTATGTGCTTTTTCCATCGCCAATCTGGTGATTTTATGTCTTATTTATTCTACTAGATGAACTAAGTAAATAAAGGAAATCAACTCAAAACATTCATTTTGGCTACTTAAACAGCTAGCTATAATATTTAAAGATCTGATGAGGAAGGAGATATATAAAGCAATTTAAAAAACCAAATCTCATGATATTGATTACATACTTCCCCTTAACTCCATGATCAACTCAATTAACATTTCTGAGTGCCTACTTTATACAAAAAGCTCTATGCCAGGAGTTAAGGGGCACAAAGATAAAAATGAAAGTCACTATCCTCAAGGAACATAATTATGTTTTATTGATCAAAAAAAACAGGTTGACTTAGTGTTGTGTGGCTTACTTAGAATCATTTAAATTACATTACGTAGTCCCGTTCAGGAGTATTAGACAGTAAATAAAGGACATTTGAATTTGTTTTTACCATATTAGTTGCCAAAGATATATAGTTCTAATTTGAGAAGGCACACCACTTCCACAATTATTATGTATTAGTAAATTGCTATTTAAATAATAATGGTTTACTCAATGCTTTAAACAGAAATTTAAGAATTTTTAGGGGAAGTAAGACTAAATTTTGACAATTAACTCAGAGTATGGATAGAAATATATCACCAAGTCTCAATCTAAAAGGTGAAGTAATTAAGTCCAGCCACATCATGACTATCTGTCTATGATCCTGGAACTTCGGGTTTATTCACAAGCCTTAAAGTCCCTGACAGAGTTTGAGAAGTGATGGCAAAACCTGATAAAAGTCCTGGCATTTTCAAGATGAAATTTAACAGGCAGCATTTCACCAATAACTTTAGTCATTGGTAACCACAATTCATTTTACTTATCTTCGCTCCACTCCTCCAATTCTACTGATGGCAGACCTAGGGTTAGGAGCTGGCTACAGAGATACTTGTCAAAATAACTATTGCTTTTTGGATGGAGTGGGAAAACTCTTTCTTGAAGAGCAGTGTGGTTATCATAAGAAACCTAGACTTAGTGTTAAGAGAAGTAGGTTTAAGTCCTAGCTCTGTCACTTAGCTATGGTATTTTGAGCAAAAAACTTCTCTGGGTCTCAGTTTCTAATTTTTAAAATGAGGAATGAATTAAATAATATCTAAGACCTCTTCTAACACTAATATTCTATGAATTTTTCAGTCTCATGCAGTTAACATTCCTAAATTCCATTATGATATAAAACTGCTGTTTCAAGTTTGAAACCACTGTAAAGCCTCACTTGAAATCAACTTTTTTTTGTGGGGGGGGTGGGGGGAGAAGGAGAAAGGAATCCTAAAAATAGACCTTAGTATCCACACATTTGGCAGGAAGTTCCTGTACGCCTCCTGCATCACTCAGTTGTTCTCCTAATGGAAGTCCAATTGTAAATTTGAATGGCATGATATTATATAAAAGGCTATGCAACCATACAACAAAATTAAATATCCAGCTGTGTGCATGTCTGAATTACTAGTACTTCAAACATTTGATGACATATACAAAAAAACTTAAAACATTTATCATATGCTTATTCTGTACTTGTAACTAAGAGGTTGGTTTCACACTTGATATTTCAGTAACAAGGAAGGATCAATTAAAAAAACTGAGAATCCATACTTCAAAACTAAAACTGAGTCTTGTTTCAGCTCTAGAAAAGAACAGAAACTGACTCAGGCAGTTATGCTTCCTTGAACAGAGCAAAAATATTAAGAATTTCATGAGTTTAGCACATATATATTTTTTTTTCTCCAAGGGGTGGTGAAGATACAGAATGGAAAGCAAAATATGTGCCCAACATATATTTTGTCTGTATTTCATGCCTTTTCCCCTCCAAGAGCTCATGGGTTCTCAAAATAGTTTTGTTTGAATTCTAGGATATTCCACAGGAAGCATGATCACTTAGGTCAAGTAAGTCATTACTCTTCTGTTTGCCTCAATTTCCTCATTTGCAAAACAAAGGGCTTGGACTAAGCGGATTTTTAATGTTGCTTATATTTTGTTTTTCTAATTGTTACAGAAATATGGTGGCTTCTAATGTCCTGAACATACTTAGACAACATCTCCAAACAAAAAAGTATATACCCTTTCCAGGATTACTCTCCTATTAACTGAGGTAAACAATATTTTAATCTGTACACTGTCATTCCATGGGTGATAGGTTCCACAATTCAGAGACTACCTTGTACACATGACTGATTAATATTGGACACAATATAATTAATAAAAACAAAAAACCAAACAGTAATGGTGAACATTTTAAAAACACGATTTGTGTTGCCAGCTCAAAATTTTCTTTTGAAGTCTGTATCATATCCACTTATTGATAAACAGGGTGAAAAAAGGAAATGAACCACAATTTTTCTATTTTCCTGAATAGATAAGCCTTAAGAACTCTCAAAAAAAAGAACTCTCCAAGATGGGGATGGGGGGGGGCAGAGAGGGTGTAGCTCTCTATCCCTTGAGGACTTTAAAATAGAAACTAAGTTGTTTCACAGGATATCCTCTCCCACATGATTCTGGTCCATCTCTTATCTTGGGAAAAGTAGCCTAGATGAAGTAGAAAACAAACCAAACAAAGTCTATCTCAGACTTATTACACTATATGATCAAAGATAAATCATACCTGTTAGGAGTTTGGGAACTTCTTTAAAAATTATTTTTGATGAATGGGTTTTAGTATCATTGGGTTTTTTTTGGTAATATAATGTATTTTACGCATTTAAAAATGTTATTCTGAAAAGGGGTCCATGATTCAAAAAAGGTTAATAGGCCCCTCAGTTTATCTGTAAAATGGGGATAAAAATACTTACCTCACATCACTGTTGTGAGGAAAGCACCTTGCAAACCTTAAAGTGCTTAAAAAATGCAAGTTATTAGGAACTATTTACAAAGCTAATTTTTTTAAAAAAAGCTTTAAAAAAATTAGGCAGCTATGTGGCTCAGTGGATAGAGTGCTGGGCCTGGAGTCATGAAGACCTCAGTTCAAATCTAACCTTAGACCCTTAATAGCTGTGTTACCCTAGGAAAGTCACGTAACTCTAGCTTTAATCTAAGGAAAAGAAAATTGCAACCCACTCTAGTACCTTTGCCAAGAAAACCCCATGGACTACATGGTCCATGGGGATTACAAAGAGTCAGATGTGACTGAACAACAATGAATGCTAACTGGGCATCTAGTCTGCTGGACAAGAATAGTTGCTTCAAATTGTGTGCTATTTGCAATGCTATCTTAAGGTGTTGCTTACACAATATCCTTTAACAAAATCTACTGAAAATAAATTCAAATTTGTGATGGGTGGCCAAATAAATAATGAAGTCTCATTTTAACAACCCAAGTAAGAAAAGGTTTACCTGTGCAATTAAAATTTAATTTTCTAAATTAATTTTTTTGAATTAATTGGACTAATCAGCACTATCTGGACTACTCATGCCCTCTGAACTATTCTTATTCTTTCAAAAGCACTCGATAATATTTGAATATTCGTATATAAAAAAACTTTCATAAATCCACTGTCAAGTATAACATTACTTTCATCATTCCTCCTTGGTCTTTATATAAACCAGAGACACAGATTATACATACAGTGTTTCATACATAATATGTATGGCCCACTACTGTTTTACTAAATGACAGACCATGGTACTTACCATGGCACTGCAAACTTAAAACAAAAATGTAGGATGCAGTCTAGAAAATCTGACTGTAACAATTTTAAGACTGACTGCCACTGCCCAATGTAATTCTCACATTATCTTGACACTGAAACTTTTACTCAGTACCTATCAATTCCAAATTTATGGGGCTCAAATATAACTTGGCCTGAAATTTACATACTCACATGCAAGATAGAAAAGAAAAAGAATGCACGGAAAATTGTTTGAACAACTTTTTCTTAAACAGATTAAATGCCATAGAAAAACTTATTAATACCCAAACATCACCACTCACTTATTTAAGTGGGTTCCCAAAGTACATTTAGCAATAGCACTGGCCTAGGTGAACTATTACTTAGAAATACATTAAAAATAATACTTAAGATTAAACAACAACAACAATGAAACACCAACCCTAAGAAGCATAACAAATATGCCAATGTAGGAAGGTCTCTTATAGTAATCCAGTGTAACTTCAAATTTGGTGTGAATTTTGAACAAATGATGGATCCTAATGGATTCTCTACATTGGAAATTATACATTTTAGCTTTGAAACCTGTTTTGGCTGTTCCAGTTAAAAACAGAAATCTGCATCAGCACTAATGAACTAGAGGTGAGATATTATCAGTGTATTAGTTTTATAAAAGTCAGTATTTAGAAGATAATTCCAGTCTCAAAATAAAATTGAGTGGCACAATTCTCATACTTTATAAGGCTCACAAAAATGGCCACTGTTTTTATATTAACATTGCTGTTAAAATCATTTGGGGGCATTAATAGATTAAATCTATACCCAAAGAGTTTGAATATCTGCAAACTACATACCAGTATGGGCTATCATTTACCAATGTAAGAATTTGTCAAATGCCTTGTACACTATCTTCCTACAAGTGAATATTGATTTAAGCATGCTACATCCAAATGTATTATTTATCCCAATAAAAAAATACTTAGAGAAGTCTTGTTATAAAGCTTCAAGGAACACAAAGGAAGTTAGGAAACTTAAAGTTCTCAAGGGCTATTTGTGAAGTCTAAGATTACAAACCACTTTCAAACTGTATTCTCATTTGCTTCTTTATGAGAGTTCAAATTGATGGCTGGAATAAGGTTTTTGGATCTGTGAGCTTTAATTATCTGTACCTAGTACCCAAAATAAAATTAATTTGAATATAGTTATATCCACAGTGCCTGCCACATAGGAGGTGCTTAATAAATGATTGGTGACATCCTAATTTTATGAAGAAATAACAAATATTTTTACAAAAATTTTACAATAAATCCCATAGAATTTGTTCACTTCAGTATAGTGATGAAAGGCATAACTCCTTTCCTTTTCCTATCGAATACTCTAAATGTTGCTGAATATGGTGACTGATATGAATTGCAATCAATTAATCAAAAAACTTTTTAACCTTAAAGCAAAACAGTTTTGGTTAAAACAAGCAAAAAAGTAAAAATATTTCTTGTAAATATAGAATATGTTTTGCAAAGGGGCAAAATTCTCCTTTACTTAAAACCTTCAGATCATAATATTGCAATGTTGTGCAAATAAAATTGTCACTGGTCATTGGTGCTAAAAAAAAACCAAACAACCAAACAACCCAAACAACCAAACCCCAAAAAACTCTAGCCAATAGTGCTATGCTCTAACAAAACTGTAAGACAGCAATAGATTCATTGGAGAAATGGAACCTACCATTTTACAATTAAGATCAACTAAAAGAGATATTTTAAAGGAACGAATTTGTTAACATTTCCCAGAATAATTAAAAATGAACATTAAAAAATTTACTTTCAGCATCTCTACCTAGAGAATCCTACCAAAGAGAAGGTTACTTTGATGTTGTATAACTTCTAGGAACTCAAAATCCGAAATGTTCTAACTACATAAGGAAACAACTCCCTTTAAAAAATTTTAACCCCCACTAAATGTGATTTAAAACAAAACAAACAACTATTTCAACTCCTTTGAATCTATCACAACTCTTTATCGTTTAAGTTAATGATTACTTTAAAATTTTCAAATTGTCCATTCAAGCTAATAGCTTTCAAAAAGCTTAATCTGTGCTAATATGGAAACTTCTGGCTTCTTTGCAGCAGGTTCAAAAATCACTAAACGTCTCCTGAGTATTAATTTTAAAATCAGTACTCAATATTCTAAGTAATTATCAAATTTTAAGGAGAATTTTATAAAACTGAGCACCTCTTATGATAGCCACTGATTAAGGACTCTAAAAACACACAAAACCACAAACATTTTCAATTCCAATACTGAAGAATGGTGGAAGAAATTCTTAAAAGTCAGTTAATAAGGAGAACCCTCACCTTAGCATAGCATACAACTATTTTGGGGTATGGGGAGGAGGGAGAGGAGATAAAGGCAGTTTAAAAAAAAAAGACTGAGGAACCCTACCATCTTATTATATTTGGGGGAAACCGAAGCAGTTGGTCATCCAAAAAAAATCCTTTTAACAGGACTTGCAGTTGAAGCAGTTTTCCCCTCCCTCTCCACTTCATGCAAGTGTTAATAAGGAGCCAAATGGCTAAGGGGCAGCAGGTAGCCTAAGAACTAACCTATAATTCATTTATTTCAGTTAATCTGCAAAGGAAGAGGAAATAAGAGATCCAGAACTGGATTAAACACCTCACGTTTTCTAGTCACATTTTACTTTAAGTTGTTCTAAGAGTAAGGCTTACAAAAAAAAAAATAACTTTCACAACACATATACCCTCTGCAAAGCAAAATTACAGATAAAGTTCCCAAATGGAAAACAAATATTAGGCGCCTGCGGGGCTCATACCTTCTTTCGTTTGTGCATTGGTGATCTGTAGATCGCAGTCAGCAGCCTTGAGCTTCTCTCTCCCCATGATTTGCTTCTTCAAATCACACAGGGAGATGTGCAGTCCATCAAAGGTAACGGTATCATAGTTGAGTTTGGAGGAAAATTTATAATGCACACAGGACATGGTGCCAAAAGTTCCCTAAGGCTCAGCGATGAGACGTGACACTCTGAATTATATGTATATTTATAAACTTAAGAGATATGTACACACACAGAAACACTCAAACTGAGGGAACCTTAGGCCTTATTGCCCCCCCCGACCACGAGTGGGGTTCTGAACCAAGAACCCCCCCCCAAAATAATCAAATCACTTCATGGATAGACGGGAGCGGGAGGGTATGGGGGAAGGGAATTTGGAGGGAGGGACTGGGTAGGGAGGAGGGAGAAGAGGGAAAGGAGAGGAAAGGGATCCAACGGGTATAAGCCGTACAATGTCACCCAGCGGGGCCCCCCTCGCTCATGCTAAGGGATTGCAGGAGACAGGCAAGCGGGCGGCGCAATCAGCAGCAGTCCAGGGAAACAGTTCGAGTCCCCCCCAGAGGGATCAGGGGTCCATCGCGCCGCCACCTCCCCTCTGTCTCTTTCCGGCAACGAGGGCGACCCCAGGCCCCGGGAGGAGGGGGAGGACGGGGCAGAGTCCGCCAAGGCCACAGGCCTCCTGTTTGCCTGCCTGTCTGTCTGTCTCCTCCTGGGGCGGCCGCCCGGCCGAGCTCAGCTCCCGGCGACTGCAGCTTTCTTCCCGATCGGCGTCAGCTCCCGGGCCCGGGCCCCCGCCCCGGCCCCCTTCCCCCCTCCTCCTCCTCCCCGTACACGGAGTCCCGCTGGGAGGAGACACGAGCACCCCGCAAACCTAGGGGAAGCGGGGCAGAGAGGCCTCCCTGACGGGGTCGCCGCCGCCTCCGGCTCCGGCTCCTTCTCCCCCTCGGCCGCGGAGACCGCCGCCGCCTCCTCACAGACAAAGCTGGGGGGACTAGGCCGCACTAGGCCCGGGGCCTCGCCTCACCCCAGCCCCGAGCCAGCACAGGGACGCTGTGCGCGCCCCCGGCCGCCGCGGCCACCTTCCTCCTCTTCCTCTTCCGCTTCCCTGGGCCGGGAACGCCAGTAACCTCGGGCTCCGAAATCGACGATGGCGACGTCTCCTTCCTCAGCCGGTTAGCCCTTCAGCAGCGACAACTCCGGCCAGTCACATGGCGGCCGCTGCTCTACTCAGCCTGAGCGCCCCAGTGCGGGGTCTCTTAAGCAGGGGCTGCACGGGCTCCGCGCGAAAGGCGGGGACAGGGGGAGGGGGCGGAGCTTCGGCGCGTCACAAAGCTCGCTGTCCCCTGCCACGTGACCCGGCGCATTATGACAAGCGAGGGCAGAGGCTGTTTGGAAAAAGGAAGAGACCATCTGGCTCGGAGTCGGGTGGGAAAGAGGGAAAGGGGAGTGGCTCACTGGCGGGGAAGGGGTGGTGGTGAGGAGAAACGAAAGAGAAAAAGATACATTCATTGGTGAACAGAAACAAAACCTGAGGGGCTTCTAGGGGCCACTGGGGACCGAAATGACTGACTGCATTTGCGGCAGCGCAGTCAACAAGCATTTAAGTCCTTGTTAAGTTGTGTCCGACTCGAAGTGAGCCTGTGGGCCATGCTGTCCATGGGGTTTGGTTTACCATTTCCTTCACCAGCAGATTAAGGCAAACACAAGATAAGTGAGTTTCCGAAGGTCACACAGCTATTGAGTGTCTGAAGGAAGATTTGAACTCAGGTCTTCTTGACTCCAGGCCTAGCACTCCATCCACTTAGCTGCCTCTTGGTTACTAGATGCTAACTTGGGGATAGAAAGAAACAACAAACTAAAAAAAAAAAACCAAACCAGTTCCTGCTTACAAGGAGTTTACAATCTATGTAAATAATTTCTGGAGTCAGGAAGATATGAGTTCAAATCTAACCTTAGACATTTGACTAGCTGTGCGACGATGGGCAAGTCACTTAATCTCAGTTTCCTCATCTGTAAAATGGGTATTATAATAATAGCACCAACCTTCCAGGGTTGTTTTAAAGATAGGATGAGATTGTTTCTGTAATACTGTGGTGCTTTAAGGTTTGCAAAATGCTTTACAAATATCTCATTTTATCCCCAGAAGGTAGATAGGTGCAATTATTATTCCTATTTTACAAGATGAGGAACTGAGGTTCAGAGAGGTTAATTAAGCAACTTGCCTAGGGTCACACAGGTAATATAGCTTAGTTCATACTCAGTTCAGTCAGATTGATTCGAACAAGAAGTGTACTCCCTTAGTAAAGGCATCAAAACCAAATGGAGTGGTTTCAGTCTCACCCTTAAAACTAGGTTTCTCACCTTTTATCCTCTTGACTCTGTTCTCTCTCAGCCCAATCATTGCTAAATCTTGACATTTCCACCTCAACGATCTCTCTCACATCAGCCTTCTTCTTGAGTGGTTGCATCAAAGAAGTGAGAGTCAAGAATGACTCTCAGCATGCAGATCTGGGTTACTAGGAGGATGGAGGCACTTTTTACAGAAACAGGTGGGTTTAGAGGAGGGACATTTTGACCATGTTGAGATTCAGAAGGCAGTGGAACATCCAGGTGGAGATGGCCAGCAGGGAGTTCAGAACTGGAATTCAGAAGAGTTTGAAGGCTTGAAGGGACAGACTTTTGGAGTCACGTGTATAGAGGTGATGACTCATGGAAGTGGATGAGATTAGGAAAAGAGTATAGAGGGGAAAAAAGAGGACCACAGACAGACTTAGGGGGCAAAAGATAAATGATGATATCGCAGAGGAGAATGATAAGGTATGGGCAGACAGGTAGGAAGAGAAACAGGAGAGAACAATGCCACAGAAGACAAGGAAGGACAAAGAACACAGGAGGAGAGGCTGGTTCACATTATCAAAGGCTACAATGGAGGAAATGCCTTTGGATGTAGCAGTTGAGAGACTGTTAAGAAGTTTGGAGAGAGAAATTTCAATCAGTAGTGGGATTGGAAGTATATTACAAGGGTTTTAAAATGAGAAAGGCAATAAAAGTGGATGGCATTCCGGCAGGGGTGAGGAAGCTACGGTCTCGAGGTCATCCCTGTCTAGGAGGAGACTGGCTGTTCAAGGGGAAAAAATATGTAATAAATAGTTTTAGGAGATAGTAGGGGCTACTCAGGAGGGTTGGTTTTTTTTTTTAAGGATAGAGTCAATAACTCTTGTAGTCAAGAACCTATAGATAAGGAGGGATTACTCATAAGAAGGAATTATCAAAAGTGTAAACTTTCAGAACACATAGGTAGAGTGCTTGGCCTTAGCAAGACAAAGGGTCACCTCATCCTCAGAGAATGTAGTAAAGAAAGAGAAAACAGGGGTGATATAGAGGAATTCTGAGATATACAGAAAAAGAGAGAGCTCATCATAAATGGCCTTGATTTCTTCAGTAAAACAAGAGGCAAGATTATCTGCTCAGAGGAAGTGGGTTGGGGAGAGAAGATGGTTTGGAATATCAACTGAGGAGTGTGATAGGGAAAAATAAAAGGATTTCAATGCCAAAGTGAGGGCCTAGTTGAGATTACATAATATAGACTTTTAGTGAGATTACATAATATAGACTTTATGCTACATAATATAGACTTTTAGTGAGATTCCATAATATAGGTTTTATATTACATAATATAGACTTTTCTCCAGTTCTTCTAGCAGAACTCTAGCATGGGGTTGGCTGTGTAGGGTATTGGGTAATCCAGGTTTTTTATTTGGCAAGAATTGAACTGGTCAGTTGTTAGATCAAGACAGTGACAGAATGAGAGATGAGAGCAACAATGACCTAGAGGTTAGTAGTTGACCATAACAAAGATTTGCCAGCTCTAGATCCTAGCTAGCAATTTCCTAGACCTGTGATTTTATTGGTATAGGGAATTCTTAATGAGGAAACTCCTTAGTCTAAGGCTACTCAGTAAATTATAACGCTCAACAGAGTGGCTTGGGGCACTGAGAGGTTGGGTAACTTGTCAAAGGTGACTCAGTCTATGGGTGCCAGACTTGACCCCAGGTCTTCTTGACTGTGAGGCTGGCTCTGCATCCATTATGCCAGGCACACTGATGTAGCCTTAGAACCCAGGGTCATCCATGCCACAGTGTGTCACTAGAATAGGACTTTGAGGAGGTTTCTTCTGATACCAAAACAAGATAAAGTTGTTGGTCTGTGACCCTGAAGAGGAAGAAAGTTTGCCTGCTTTTTTTTTGAACCTTAAAAAAAACCATAAACATGGTATATCGGAGCCAATGAACATCTATTAAGTTCTACTGTTAAGCCTTGGGGATTAAAAGAAAGTCGTAAGGCAGTCATACTCGCAATCTAAAAGGAGAAGACAACACATAAAAAGAAGCTGAAAGGGCTAGGTGGATGGGGGTATGGATGGGCATGATGAAGTCCTGTAGCCAGTGTGGGAGATGATCTGAGGAGCTGTGAATTACAGCTGATTTCCTCTTGTAGGATTATGAGTTTCTGGATCTCATCAAGTCCAGGAGAACAGCCAGTTGAGAAACTGCATATATTCAATTTTCCTTTTTATATTTTATAACATGATATATTCTTGCACATGAAGTTACAGATCTAGAATGAGAAAGAATTCCAGAGGTCATCTAGTGCTGCCCCTGAATATCATAGCTGAGGATCAGAGGAAAGAAGTTAGGTAATTCCTGGGTCACACAAGTAATGAATATCAGTCAGTCAATAAGCATTTATGAAGCACCTACCAGTGCCAGGTATTATGCTAAGTGCTAGGGACACAAAGAAAGGCAAAAGACATTCCCTGTTCCCAAGGAATTCACAATTTAATGGGGAAGGCAACAAAGCAAACAGATATGTACAAACAAGTCATATATAGGATAAATAGGAGATAATAGAGGGAAGGCACTAGAATTAAGAAGGATTGGGAAAAACTTCCTGTAGAAAATGAGATTTTAACTGGGACTTGAAGGAAGCATCAGGAGAAGAGTTGGGAGGGAGGAGGGGGAGAAAGAGGGAGGGGGGGAGTGAGAGAGAGAGAGAAAGAGAAAGAGAGAGAGAGAGAGAAAAAAGAGAGAGAAAGAGAGAGGGAGAAAAAGAGAGAGAGAGAAAGAGAGAGGGAGAGAGATTGAGAGCAAGCAGGAGAGAGAGAGTGGGCATTCCTGGCAGGGGGGATAAGCAGAGAAAATAAATGCCAGGAATGGAGCAATCTAGGGTCATGTTAGGGAAACTGCAAGAGAGCCAATGTCACTGGATTGAAATCTATGTTGGGAGAGGGAAGGATGTAAGAAGACTGGAAAGATAGGGGAATAGGGTTAGGTTATGAAAGGCTTTGAATACCAAACAGAGGATTTTGTAGGGAGCCCTTGGAGTTTATTGAATATGGGGTGACACGGACAGATTGGTGAGTAGAATTTGAACTCAGGTCCTCTGACTAAAGCCAGATCTTGTTCCTTTATATCGTGACAACCTCCCTCCCTATG